CCCCCCCCGGCTCCAATGCGCTCTACAAGCGCCTTCCTGGTTTCAAAACTCCGCCAATCCCCCCTAATAGCTCGTCGAAGCATCCCAGCATCAGCTGTCTATTACTGAATCTTACAGACACAAACCACACTGATGGCATGAAGTTAAGGTTAAAACACTCAACGAAGCCCCGTTATTAACGGACACGGCTGAAATCCGGTCATCATAGTCGACAAGCCCAAGTTGTATTGGGGCGCTCGCTCCTTTTGCTTGACGCACGCTCCCGATCTTGAATCTAGAATCGATTGCTCTTCCTTGGGTTCCCGGATGTTGCGGTTCCAATTTTTTTGCATTGAATTTTTTGCGGTTGAATATTTTAACGTTGAAAAACATTCAGATACATGATTTCAATGCATAAATATTCAGTGCTAGAATTTCCATCACCTTTTTCTTTCAAAATCCGATGACACCGATTTACTTCCACAGTTGTCCGTGCGGCGCGCGGCGCCATCCGCGTAGGAATCCCACGTGGGCGCCGCTGTGATTGCGGGCTGCTTGTTTCCAAAGGTGGCGTCCTACAAACGGGGAAAAAGCTACACAAAGGAGGAGCTGTTTTAACCAGAGGCCAGATGTCGTCTGCTCGTGTATTTCTGATTGACGAGCAGCTCGCTCGGCCTACAAGAGGCAGCTTGTCTTCGCTTGCAACACTTTGAACAGGCCACATTTTTTCGCCTTTTCACTCTGACAGGAAGACGCACGTGAAGACAGGGGGGGGGGGGATATTGCTGAAGGAGGCCGCGTGGACTTTATTCCCAGAGACGAGTCTGAGCGCTGGAGGATGATATTGCCGATGATATTCGCCTCAGACGTTCCAGCTCATTCTGAGGGGTTTCTTTGTGAGACAGTCGCGGGCTTAGCGAGCTTCAGAGCAGGAGGGGGATTAGCTTAGCTTAACTTAGCTTAGCATCAAAGCTGCGGAGATGCACGTCTGCATTCTTCTAGACTTTGGAGTTAGGACCCCCACCTCCCCCCATGTCTCCAGTCTAAGATAATCTCATTCTGGCACACGGGAGAGCGGTGTAAATCATTTCATCCAACTAAACGAGCATTATTGACGAGCTATTCCCTCTCCGCTGATCAACTTTAGGTTCGTGCAAATCCGCCTGCACAACTTGGACTTCCCGTCCAGTAAACATTCACATTCGCGAGAGAACTGCTCACACATCCGTTGAGCACTGAGCCTCTGGCTGCTGCGGTAATGCTGGATTACACGAATGACTCCCGGCCTCACTAATCTGACAACGTATAACGCGTTTTCCCTCTTGAGGTGTTGTGTCTCCCTCTTTATCTGCTCAGAACAGCGTGCGCCCCGGGGGGGGAGGGAGGATGGGTCGGCGCTCCTGTGCGACTCCGCTCTGAGTCAGACCCGGAGACCCGCCCACTTTGTGGAAAGTGGTTTTGCCTCGTCGTCTGTGGAAAAAAAAAAAAAAACAGAATATGAGACTCGTCAGCAGTTTGTTTGCCCGCTGTCACGCGGCCGCGCTCACTTAGCGGGTTTCTGCCTCTGCGGGTTGCTTTTGTGGTTCTTCTTACTGTCTCATTGAAGGCATCACTTCTGGTTGCATCTCTGGAAAAGTGGAGCTGGATCCTCTCCCATGGAAGCGTTTCTATTTCATACCTAAAGCGAAGGAGGACGTCCGAGCAAAGCAGCCCTCCATTTTGGTCCAACGTGACCTCATTGTTCTCCATGTGTTACACATACATCAACAAAAAGCCCGTCTGAGCCTGCGACCAAACGGTAATCTCCCCCTTCGGCCCTCTGTGTAATTTGCCGAGGAGGGTTTTCGGTGATTTTGTTTTCTTTTAAAGTCAGTGGTGACGTGGCGTGCTCCTTCCCGGGGTCAGGCGGGGGCGTCTGCCCAAACATCTGTGAAATGCCCAAAGAATACTGGCCTACTAAAAGCCGCACGCACACTAGATGTGGTGCAACATTACGTCTGAACCTTTCTGTAAGATAGCAAAAAGCGAGATTATCTTAAGGCGCATACGCAGGCATGCCAGTGCTGCAGGATCTCCCCCCCGGGACAGGCAGCAAACGAGGCCTTCTCCCCTTCTTCACCCTCCCCGAGACCGACTCCTGTATTATTCTTTTTAAAATGTTTGAATTCCGGCGAAGCAGGGGCGCGCCGCAAGCATTTGGTGAATTCAGCGCAGCGTTCCCTCGGCCAGGGAACGGGGCCGTGCCTCAGGCTGCAACCGGAGATGTGGGAGGACAGAGGGCATGTTTTCCCTCCGCACACAGACACACAGGAAGTCACCCCTTTTTTTCCCGGCGCTCCGTCCCATCGGGACGCCGCGTTCCTGACCGGAGTCACTGAGACGTTTAGACATTTAGTGCAATGTAGATATCACAAATGTAGAGTGGATATCTCCGCGTATCTCCTTCTCCCTCGCGGCTTCTGGGTCGGCCGGCGACGCTGCTGGAAATAACCGCACGTTTCCTTTTTGTATAATCTCCAAATATTTACATAAGCCTGTTGAGTGTGGTGTTGAGATGCAGCATGTCTCCAGACGGTGGGGATGCATTGACACGCGGGCCCTCGACTGCAACCAGAGCCGCCGGAAATCTATTCTTGATCCCATAATTGTGCCTTTTCTAAAGAGCAGATTCGTCCCACGTTATATTTACTGGTTGGGGAGTCATCTCCTTCCACTATTCCTCCCCCTCCCCCCCCCTGCTGCATGGACTGGTTGCATTGACTTGCCTGGTGATGCGTTCAAGCTCTGTTCAGTAAAAATGAGTATCGGCCGTAGGTCACTTGTGATTTTATTATACTTTATCTTTTGTGTTTTATACCCGGAAGGAAACAATCTCATTGCAGCATCTCAACATCTTTCACATTTTATCACAGCGTCTCCACTGAGGTCAGTGAATGAACCGTGTGTACTTTAAAGCTTCATCAGTTGATGCGGCCTTTTTTAAGTCCCGCAGGGGGAACCGGAACGGCGCCGGCCCCGTCTCTTGATTCCTCCGTTGTTTTTCTTTCGTGAAGCCCCCCCGGGAATTAACTGGCTGACCCTCAGCCCGAGTCCCTTTGACCGCGCGGCGTTGCTCGTCCTCCGATGCACGTGCACCACTGTGGAGGTCATGCGTGGGACTCAGTCCTCCCCGCCCATAAATCCCGCGGCCTGCGCTCTCTGACGAGTTCGCTTGCAGACGCGAGTCGTGCACTTAAATGTGTTTCCCTTTTTTTTCCCGTGCATGTTCTCCCCGGTCAGCTGCTTGCCTGCTGAAGATGCAGGAAACAGCCTTTCACCTCTGTGCCTGGTCTGACTGAATCACTGGGTTCCGACATCTGTTTTCTGCGTTCTCTTTAACTTTCCCTGGATCCATACTAAAGGATCAGATAAAGAAAAGGGCGCGCGCGCTGCATCAGAGGGGCGACGGACTTGGGAGCAGCTCGTCGGGACTTGTTGAACAAAATGAATGCTGCACTTTCCCTGCTTGTAGCCTCCCTTTGCTCTGGCAGTGCAGCACGGGAGGCTCCTCGCCCTCTGAATGCCGGAGCGCCGGTGTCATCTGAGGACACCCTCCCAGCGCCGGTGCTGGGTGACTCAGCGGCCGAGGTTTGGGAGGGGTGCTGCAGACTTAGAAACGCCCCTGCAGCCGGATGCACGGGAGGAGAGGGGAGACGCGTTAATGCAAAGAATCCAAACGTTAAACTGGACGTCAATGTTGCTCTTGCAGAAGTGTCCGTGACCTCTTTGGGGGTCCGGGTCCGATCGGCTGCTTCTCTGCCGTCGGATTCTGCGCGTTGGACCGAAGGAGAAGGAGCCGCTCCTAGAAAAACAGTGACTTCAGTCCTCTGTCAGATCGGCCCACAAGAACCAACGTAAAAGCAGCACAGCACAAAGGTTACAGAGCTAGCATAGTTATTTAGAAAATGAGACGTAATGTGGCAGTAATTCAAACTGTTTCATTTTTTTCCCCCCAAAAGGTTTTCAACAAACTCATGCAGGCAATGATTTAGGAACCACTTCCCTCTTAGTTTATTTTACTTTTGTTTTCACAGACTAAAGCAAAGGAAACCAAGTTTTAGATTAAAGCAATATTTAGAAAAAATAAATCATTTTTTGAATTGTTATTATATTTTAAAATACTGGTCCGCGACAGTCCTGTCGCTCTGGAAAAGTCCCACGTTGGATTTGTTATCGAAAAAAACACCTGATTAAGTGCAGATTTTGAGCATCTGGAGTTTTCTCTCTCTGGGAGAACGAACCTCCTACACATTGCTTACGTTTACGATCCTTTTTCATAATTGCAACAGCAACGTGACGCAGCAGATGCATGCTGGGAGCTCCGCTCGTCGGCCGTTTGGTCCCTGGATCCTCGGCGGCTTGATGACTCGTCGTCGCCCTTAGCGCCCCGATATCGTTCCGCCTGTTTCCTCCCACACAGAACATGGGTTGTCGGCCTCGGCCCGCCGGCCCGCCCGTGTTGATGAAGCGCAGACGTCTTCCGGAGATAGCAGCTCCCTGAATGTGCTCTTTGTGGAGGGCGAGGAGTCCACCGAGGAGTCTGCTGGACAGGACCGAGACCGTGAAGAGCTCTAACACGAGGACCTGTTAAATCCAGAGTGCTGCCGGAGGCGCCTTTGCGACGCGACGACGAGCTCCAAACGCGAAGCCAGCTGCCGGTTTGTGGGAGAACTTAACCGAGCGTAGAACGGCTGCATGGGAGCAAATCCCTGCAGCTGCAAACATCTGGTGGTAGACCTTTCCCAGGACATCCCTCCAGAATCTTCTCAGACCCACTCGGCCGTTTTGTAGTTTTCGTATGGTGAAATTATTGCTGTCTCCGGATTCACCCCCGACCCCCCCCCTCTCCTCCCAGGTCACGGAGAATGCCACTGCGGGCAGTGTAAATGCCACGCCGGCTACGTCGGCGACAACTGCAACTGCTCCACCGAGACGGCGCCGTGCGTCGCGGACGACGGGCAGATG